CTCCTAAAAGGAAGAAAGGCTGTGGAAAAGATGGCACCAGCTCAATGCCACTATTGTCACATGGGTATGTTTTGTTCTTAATCCCCATCTAGGCTGGAAAGTTTATAGGAAATCGGTAATCAGATTCCTACCGTATAGGTGGAATGAATCCTGACCATGGATCGATGCCAAATCTATAGGTAGGATGCGGTTTATAGGGGGGCTACTAGTAGACTAGGAGGGGGTTATAAATTCAGATTTCTGAGGGGCAGTACAACCTACTTATCCCTTTTATAACATACTCTCTCTACCTTAATTTTCAGAAAAAATAACTTACCTTAATTTCTAGAAATACAGACTTATTTTTTTATAACCTACTCTCTCTCTCTCTCTTTCTCTACCTTAATTTCAGAAATAATTTACCCAAAAAATATTTAAAAACCTGTTCCTGCAACCACTATTATTAGATATAAATTTTACTTTATTTCAAGTAATTTTTTCTAAGATACTTTCACTAAAAAATACCTTCTCAACTTCTTTTTTTCTATACAATAATTTAATTTCTCCAAGCCCCTGCAATGCAGGGCCCCTCCACTAGTATATTTATTAAAGGGATAGGGGTGGTCTCCCCATTCGCCAAATGGCAACCCTTTAACATATATATATATATATATATATATATATATATGCCACTGGTTTTGGATTGACGGTTTGACCGTCCGGTTTGAATGAATGGCCCATTCTAACAACAAAAATTACAAGCAAAAAATTATGGAACCGTTATGGCCACCGGTTTTTGGGTCGACGATTTGACCATCTAGTTCAAATGGATGACCCGTTCTGACAATAAAGATTACAAGAAAAAATTGAGTGTGTGAGGTCAATTAAGTAGTATCATACATGTTATGTCATTTGAGTGTGTGACTCATACGACCCAAAAACAGAACCATTCTGGCCACCAGTTTTTGGGTCGACGGTTCGACCGTCTAGTTCAATCGGGTCGACAGTTTGACCGCTTGGGTCAATGGGTCATTGGCCGATTCAACAGTTTTTGGCCAGGGACCATGATTGGGATAAAATGGAACCGGTTGCCTGGATTGTTCCTAATTAAACAAAATAAAAAAATGGCAGGTCAACCGTCTAGTTTGAACAGACGACCCGTTCCAACAACAAAAATTATAGGCAAAAAATTAAGTGTGTGAGGTCCATTAAGCAGTACCATACGTGTTATGTCATTTGAGCGTGTGACTCATACAACCCGAAAATGGAACCGTTTTGGCCGCCGGTTTTTGGGTCGACGATTCGACCGTCTGGTTCAAACGGACGGCCTATTCTAACAACAAAAATTAAAAAAAAAGCCAAAAACCATTGAACGAGTCAACAGGTCGACGGTTCGACTGCTCGAGTCAATGGGTTATTGACCAATTCAATGGTTTTTGGCCAGGGACCAAGATTGGGATAAAACGGAACCAGTTGCCTGGATTGTTCACAATTAAAAAAATAAAAAAATGGTAAAAAACCATTGAATTGGTCGCCGGTTTTGGCCGGCGGTTTTTGCCATTGAACGAGTCAACAGGTCGACAGTTCGACTGCTCGAGTCAATGGGTTATTGACCAATTCAATGGTTTTTGGCCAGGGACCAAGATTGGGATAAAACGGAACCGGTTGCCTGAATTGTTCACAATTAAAAAAAATAAAAAAATGGTCAAAAACCATTGAACGGGTTAACAGGTTGACAGTTCGATCGCCCAGGTCAATGGGTCGTTAATTGATTCAACGTTTTTAGTCTAGGAAATGGGATTGGGGTAAAACGGAACCGATTGCTTGGATGGTTCCCAGGCCAAAATGTCCTTCCATCCGGGTTAATGACGGTTTGAAAACAATGGTTTTTTATGCTTTTGGATTTTCACTATTCAAAGGTTTATTCTACTGTTGACTCTATTCGAGCGTGTGCAGTATGTTCCTTTTTTTTTTTTTTTTCTGTTTTTTTTTTTTTTTTGTATTTGGTCTTCTTCTTCTTCAAGATCTTCCAAAATGGGGGTTTACCACCATTTTATTTCTTCCCTTTTGTTTTTTCTTTGGGTTTCCTTGTGTAGTTTTTTTTTTCTTTTTCTTTTTTCTTATAAGATGATCTGTTTTATCTCTTTCTTTGATTGCATGTATGTTTAGCTCTGCCTCAAAGTGAAACTTTGGACTCGATTTTCTGATTTTTTTCCTTAGTTTTTCCAGTTTGGTGGATTTACCACTATTTTTTTTATATGTTTAAGGTCACTTTGGATTTATCTTTCAAGGTTTTGAAATCCCTTACAATGTCCACCCTTCCCATGACTATGACTAAAAAGTTATTTCGTCTAATTATTGACATAATATCCCGAAAACAGAACTGTTTTGGCCATCAGTTTCTAGGTCGACGGTTTAATTGTCTGGTTCGAATGGATGGCTCGTTTTGACAACAAAAAATAAAAATAATTAAAAATATAAAATGGCCCAAAACTGTTGAACGAGTCGATGGGTCATTGACTGATTCAACGATTTTTGGCCAAGGACCGGGTTTGGGGTAAAACAGAACCGGTTGCCTGGACGGTTCCCGGGCTGAACAGTCCTACTGTTCGGATCAACTGGGAGTTTTCGATGTGAAACAAAGGACATATATGAAGTAAAACTCAGAACTATCACTGTATAATCGTATTCTTTTATATGTGATGATTTGTTGAAACAATATTTAAAAGAACAAGTACATAATGATATCTTTTAAGTTTTTTATATGAGTTTCAAGAGTTAGTACTTATAATTGCAAGTTTCTTATTAAGAAACCATTGTCTTTTTTAATATAGTAAATAACAATATTACAATTTCATTCCAGCCCCTGTGAAGCAGGCCCCTCCACTAGTATATTTAAAGAGATTGGAATTGGCATCTTAATTACCCCACAACGGTACAAAAGGAAAAAAGAAAAAAGAAAATAAGGAGATTGGGCAGCGTTCTTACAAAATGAATAATGTAAAAGCAGGTGTTTGTTAATGATCCATTTATGCACCACAACTAGCATACTTATTACCATGCTACAATAGATTCTCTAACGGAGGAAGCATCCATGCATCAGCACCGGTGGATAAATATGTCTGAAAATGTTATTAATCGATACATATATAAAAACAATTTAATCTGTTTAAAAAATTAAATAGGAAAACAAGCATTAAACTAAGACGGTTATTTTAAGTTATTTCACACTTTGTATGCATATACTGAACAATAGCCACGTGGCTACTTCCATTTATTTTAAAGCTGTTAGTTTAAGCTTGAGTTAATTATTTATATATATCATGTATATTTGAGAGACCACTCTTATTGATTTTTCAAAAGTTAAATCTAATAAATAAAATGTAAAAGATAAAAAATGACCTTAATTATTTATTAAATTTTCAAAATATGTAAATTTCTTTCTTTTTTTCCTTCTCTTCTCTCTCTCCTCTTCCTCTTCCTCCTCCTCCTCTTATCCTTGGGAGAAATTTATGTATTGCAATTTGAGACATATTGGTCTGTCCAACCTGTCCATCTGTAACTAATCCCACTAAGAAACAAAATTGAAATTATGCAAGAGATACAGTACTACCGATGGGGTGTACCTAGGATAGATGTAGAGAGATTTTAAGCATTTTAATGAGTGTCATACGGTCAAAGACGTTTCGTATTGACATCACAGTCAAGTTCAGTTTTAGTGGCACCGGCACTAAAACTCAGAGTAATGTCCATACGGAAAATCACTGGGAAGCTTATATTCATTGGTTATATCTATTGATAAGTAATCATCATAAATAGAAAAATTGGGTATTGGGTATTGTTGCTTACGGTGCCATTGGCTACATTAAGTTGAAAATAGGAGAGATATAGGTGTGTGAGATTCTTTGGCAATCAATGTTTCTTTTCTCCTTTGTGAAGTAGTCATTTGTAGGGATGACAATTTTTTCCATTTTCATCGAGTATCTAATTTTTCTAACTCAATAGGGTCGGGGATGGAGATATTTTTGATAGGGCGGTGATGAGGATTTAAAGGGATCCTTGATCGGGGTTGGGGTCGGGGATGGAGAAAGAAATCCCCGTCCTGCCCCGACCCCATATGATATTATTTATATTTTAAAATTTTCTTTTATTTTAAATAGCTTTACTTATCAAAAAATAATGTTAAGTAAAAAATTTTGGGGTTTTAAGTCATCGTGGTCGTGGGAAATTCGACTCTGTTGGGGATCGGAGATGGAAGACAACTTTTAATCCCAATAGAGGTCAAGGTTGGAGATGAGGAATATCATCCCTGCACCAAACCCGCCCCATTACCATTCAAGTCATTTGCAACAGAGGTTCCAATAGGCTTTACAATGGTAGTGCAGAAAAGTTTCTTTACCTTACCTGATGACGGATTAGCTATGTTTCATTTTAATTTTCAAAATCAAATGTGTCTCTTATGGGTCAAAGATTGTTTCAATAGGCTTAAGAGAGAGAGAGGGCGGTTGTCCTTGTGATTCGTTTGGGGATGTTGAAGAGAGAAAATGATTTGCCTAACATTTTGACCATTTAGGGGCAACTTTATTATTATAAAGTTTTTTGGAGCAAACTGTTAATGGTTATAAATGGTGCAATGATAGAAGTCCTGTTTATGTTATGTGGGGCCGGTCAAGAAGGCATATATAATTTAGTTTATGAAATGTACAAAGTATATATAAATAATTAACCCTTTAAACTTTTAGGTTGCATACTTCGTTGAGACGGTATAAGAGCCTATATATTTGATCAAGTGGTTTATTGCCCAGTTCATTATAATTAATTAAATTTCATCAGCAAGCCAACATGCTTTGATATGAGGGGGCATCTTAAAGAATACAAATTTATTTAAGGGATTTGATCACCTAATAGCTTAAGCTTTCTTTCTTTCATTCTGACTGTATATGATAATGTAAATGTGTGTTAGTATACAAAAAAAAAGGCTATATAATTCAAGAGGAAATAGAAAGATGTTTCTAGGAATCTCTAACAACATCTTACTCCCCAAATTATAGACCAATGCACTACAAAACCACTACTGACAGTAACAAACATAAGAACACAACCGATCAATAAAAAAAAAAAAGCTCGGAACTTAGACATTAACCATATCCGAAGGATTTGAACTTGAATTTGAAGTGAACCCAGAAACGAAAAGTTGCAGGCTTATGAACTTTTGAAGTTCGGATCTGGCATAGGGGTGAGCCCAGCATTAGAAGGATCTAGATTCATAGAGTTGAGCGTAAAGATAGGATCTTCAATAGAAGTTAACCCAGTATTAAAAGAATCCAGGTTCATGGGATTTTTGAAGAGTGTACCCAGCATAGAATTGAACCCAGCATTGGAAGGATCCGGGCTCAGTGAGTTGAACATAAAGAGAGGATCTAGCGTAGAAGTGAATCGAGAATTAAAAGGATCCAGACTCGAAAAAGAGTTTAAATTTACGGGTGGATCTGAAATGGGGTTAGGGCCCATATTGAAAGAAGCCATATGCATGGTGTTGCATTCAAGAAGTGGATCAACCAATGGAGTGAACCCAAAAACCTGCTGCTGTTGTTGCTCCTGCTGTCGTTGCATTTGCATTTGTAATTGCTCCTGTTGCCATGACTGAAACTGTTGCTGTTGCTGCTGCAACTGCTGGTGTTGTTGTTGCAGTTCCAGATGTTTTTGTTGCTGCTGTAATTGCTTTTCATGTAGTTGAGCAAGGAGCTGGTTCAACCTTTTCGTTTCATCCTTGAGAGATTTTATTTGAGCTGCAAGAGCCACACCTGTTAGCAATCTCTTTCCATTTTATCATACCATTCAATATATATATGGCATTTATTTTAGGGAGAAGTATGGATAGGCCCAATGCAGATTTTTGATTTCCACTGTAGAGCCATCAACATTTAAAATATCAACAACCCAAATTCTATGCACCAATGTCGGCCTATGAATTGGCATCAATTCCGATCTGGCACCTACCCCAACAGTACTTTAAGCCTACAAATTCTTACCCTGGGCTGAACTTCCATTCTCTCTTTATTTTATGAATTGATTTGATAACCATCCTAAAAGAAAATATAGAAGAAAACCCTATTCGACTAGTGATGCCTCTGAGGCTAGTTCTTTTGCCGGTATCTCATGCTTAAGTTGATTAATTGGGTAATTGATCAATTTCTATTTGTGCCATTATAATGGGTCTTATTAAAAATAAATTTTTTGGAGAATATTGATTTCTCCAAAGGGTGGATAAATTGCTTACCGATCTTTACCTAGTAAGTGAAAGGACAACTACCACCAAAAGTTACTTGGACAACTTTTTCCCCGGATAATTGCTTTATCCATTATGGATAAACTAACTGAAGCTCACATCTGCGGGACGTCCCACAGCACATCCCCGCCGTGCATTGAGAACATCTCCCGATGATAGTACCAATCTCAATGATGTGGAGATATTCCCAATACAGGGCGGGATGTGCTGTGGGACACTGGGGCGCAGATCTGAACTCAACGAACTGAGGCCCCAAAGAAATGGAATGCGCCCCAAATCCAATCAATCTTCTTTATATATAAGCACCTACATACCATCTTTAAGTGCTTCCTCAGCCAAGGCACGAGTCAACTTCTTCTCCATAGTAGTCCTTTCCACATTCAATCGCAGGCATTCACGCTCGTGATGTCTAACTTTCGTAGATAGAAGTGCTATTTCTGCCTAAAGTAAGATCAGGAATAACAACGGAGGAAAGAAGAAAAAGATGAGTGACATTATAGATTTTCCATAGGTTGTATGAAAGGAAGAAGTAATTAACCAAACCAACTAAGTATAGAGTTCAGAAAGCTTGATTACTTCCAGAGAATTCCTGTTATTCTCAAGATGAGCTACATATTGTTGCTTCTTCCTCCGTGATCTTTTTGCAGACTCCCGGTTAGCAAGGATCCTGCAATATGGAACAAGTAATGCTTACAATTAACTCTTTGAGCTTCTATTCTATTGATATTCATCCAATGTTCTACCTTGGGAAGAAAGAAACCAGCAAAGAAATCATAGAAATGTTAATTATAGGCTCACCGTCTTATTTTGTTGGGGTCCATGTTTGGATCAAACTTGTAGTCGGAGTCTAAAGTGCGATCGGAGTCGGTGGCAGAATCCGAGGGATTTGATTCTACTTTTTTTATACTTGGGTTCTTATCAGATGGTGTCGAGGAACTCTCGATCATCTTTTTCTTATCGGATGGAGTCGAAGATACTACTTCACTAGCAGACGACTTTAGATCTAAGAAATCGTCGCTGTGGCTTCTTTCTCCGATACACCCGGAGCTGGAAGGGATGCCAATCTTCAGGATTTTGGTGTTTCTGAATAATGCAGTTAAGTCACAGGCTGGCCAACGGTCAGATGCGAAATGTTCAATATTATCTTTAAGGCAGGACTGAAGGATGCCGCCGGTGGCGGTGTTGCTGCTTCTGCTTCTGCTTTCTCTACTGCTGTTGCGATTATGGGTGAGCTTACGACTCCCTGAAGCACTCCTTGGCTGCAAGCTTGAGGTCACCATTTCGTTCATGTCTGTCATTTCAAAAATACCGTTTCACATGAAAAACAAGCAACCAATACGCACCTCAGTTATTAGTACCAAAAGTTTTTCACTCAATCAAAATATATAACTGGAGTCTGGAGTCAGAAAGCAAGGAAAAGAAATAGAATTGAGTTCTTCTAAGTATTAATGTCAACAAAGGAAAGGAAAATAAAAGAATGGAAATTGAATGTGGGAGGGCTTATAAACCATACTTACTCTGAGTCTACTTCACCTGCATGAAATGAAGAACAAATCAAATACATTAAACAGAGAAGAAAGAAAGAAAGAAAGAAAGAACAAATTAAGAAGGAAATGAAAAGCATACTCAGAAGGAAATGGAACCTTTGCTTGCATTGAGCCTGAGCCTGCTTAGTCTCCTTTTCATGAATTGCCTCACCTTAAAAATATACACGAGCTAACTAAATATTAGGGAAAATTCAAAATTAGTACCTTGTACTTTGGGTCTAGTGTCACTTTGATCCCCCGATTTTAAAATATCATAAACTTTCAAAATGTGCTAATCTATTATATGCCATTAACCGGCCCATTAATCAGTCGTAAAGTGCCATTTAAAAAGACACAAATACCTTTCAATGTCGTATAATTCTCTTTATCAATCATCCAAAGTTGACAAAAAATGAATAGTTCCAAATCCTTACCTCTTTGTTCAAGAAAGTTGGGGTCATCAAAATACCTAGTGAGACGTAACTCCAACTTTTTAGAATAGAAGAGAGGATTTGAGACCGTTCATTTTTTATCAACATGTGAATGATTGAAAAAAAAAAATTAGATGACACTCAAAAGACATTTGTGTCTTTTCAAATATCACTTAATGACTGATTAATGAATTAATTAATGACATATGCCGGATTAACACATTTTAAAATTCCAGGACCAAAATAACACTAGACCAAAAGTACCATATACTAATTGAGAATTTTCCCAAAATATTAAATAAGTGTCAGAACTCTGACAACTGCCATCTTCCAATCTTTACCCACGTGTGCTTCTATCCTCGCCTTCACATATTCAAACAATGAAACAATGTGGTGAAAATTTCCGCTGGAAAAATTATTAAGAGCCGAGCACAATAATCGTTTCTAAAATACGCCACTGGTGTGAAAAGACTTTGATTTCCCTTTCGTCCACCCTCATTTATCTTCCTATACCAAAAACCGCCATAGTATCATGTGTAGGATTAATTAATGCAACTCCGGCTGGGTTGGTTCGGGTTGAGTTCAGGCCTAACCACCCAATCATGATATCTGGTTGATCATATACTTGGCTTTTCTTGAAACTTTACCTATTAAATTGAAAAATAAATGCAAAATTACTCATTATCATGCAATTGCACGTGCTAAATATATATGAAAATGATGATACATAGACATCATATTGTTTATATATCCTCCTGCTCTAACATAAAAATCATATCTTATTATATACATAGGTCAATACATACATCATACATAAAACAAGGATACTTAATTGTAAGTATGATGCATAGGGTTCAAGTTGCCCAAGGTATTCCCGACTGAACATTATACCCCCTCCCCAAAGAAAAAGAAAAGGGAAAATCTATGATATGGAAGGAATTTTGACCAATCAAAATCTACTTATGAATTTTGATAAATAACAGTTAATTCTCTATCGCATTTATGATTCTAGTTTATCGGTCAGTTGTTTTTTCGATATCATATCTTTTTCATATCATAATCGAACCTAAAAGAAAAAGCTTGACTTTATATCTATTTGGCATTTTTCAAATCTAATCCTAATCCAATTCAACCCTTCTTTTAGGGGCTGGGTTTAGGTTGGCCCAAACCAAATTCCCTATCATGAGACTAATAATTTCAAGATATTTTCTTGGTAAAGGGTTGTTTGGTAAATTCAATTCATCTTGCATGACCAAGGTTACCTTTATAAGGTGTTCTCCTAAATTTGTTTTTTAGTGGGATGGGGTTATGGTAATTAATAACCGCTCATTAAAGGAAGAGAAAAGCAGGATTTTCAGTGAGCTTAGGTGCATGAATTTTGGTGGAGATTATATTAATGGCACATTTAATACTACTATTATTGAGCCAAACCCATTAATGAGAAAAAATCCCTAGAACTAGCCATGTGGACAATTGAATGCCAATTATATGATTCTCGGCCTCCTAACAATGTTATACAAGCAAATCCTAACTGGCTACCGATCAAAGGGTTGGAATGTTCGACGATGATCGAACATCGTGAAATGTTCTACAATAAGGAAATTCGACGACTTATTATCTAAGATCGAATCGCAAGATACTTGTAATAATTTAGGAGTACAACTTGAGCGGGCTTGAGTTGAGCATTTGTTAAAATTTGAATAGGTTAGGACAATTTCATTATAAATTCTTTAAATTGGGTACCTAATTTACATCCCTAATATCATTGTTGGATTGTTAATTGATACTTGTAATTGACTTGCTAGTATTTGACCCATGGATGCTTATATGTATGAACACTTTTATCTTAATAATCTCTAATTAAATGAGTTAATCTTAGTTAACACGTTATTAATTGTGATTCAATACAGCAGCTTTGCTGTATTGAATCACAATTCACACTACTAGTACCATGAAATCATCATAAGGTCATAAATCATGCACAATTAGGTTGTAAATATTGCACCTGAGACCATTATACACAGGATATGCAATATTAAAACATTGTTGTTTCCAAACATCATTATCATCTAAGCCTTTTTCTAACCCAAGCCTAAATCTAAATTTATAAGTGTTAATTAGCTGGTTTTGGCATATGGTGTAGCAAAGCATTAGTCGAGCCTGACCATGATGGGCCTAATTAAACCCAGCTCAAGTCTAGCAAGAATTAGACATTCATCTGGTAGAGGACTGTTTTCTTTTCTTTTGGACTAGCATCTTCTTAGTTTATTGTAAACAAACCTCATCTTACCATTAAAGCTGCGTTTGACACAATGATTAAAGAAGTTCGGCTTCTATCAGGGCAACATCCGTTTGAGCAATTTTTACAGCTTTGCATTGGGAATATCTCCACACTCATATGCTTTATTTCATGGAGAGATATTCCCGATGCAAGATTGTAAGAGGTTGTTGGGATGGTGTGAGTACAGGCTTGCCCTGACCGAAGCCGATCTCATGATAAAGAGGTTTTACACCTTACAATTAAAGTTGGATTGGATGGGTAAAACGGAGAGAAAATTTGGTTTTGATATTCTGTTCATTTTAAAACTTTAAAAGGGAAGTCCATGTGTTGTAAATTAACTTATGAGTTGTGAGGGATAAGGATTATACAAAGTCGTTTTATTTTGTATCGTGAGTGTATTGTGGGCATTTTCTGAACTTTGTTAAAGCTCTAGAATTTGTGTAATTGCACTGTTAAAGCTCTAGTCCCAAGAGGCTGCATTAACAATCTCTAGTCGTTTTATTTTGTTTTCAAAACTGAATTCAAAAACATTTTTCTTAAATTTATAGTTTAAAAAACATGTTTTCTACTGATCATGTTCCTTAAGTCTTATAATTTCTATACTATAAAATTTCTTTTTTATTTTAAAAACAATCAATTAAATTTGATGATTTCAAAAGACATGTATTCTGTTTAGAAACAAAACCTACTTGCTTTTGCTTTATAACACAAAAACAAGTTTTGTAGATTGGATCCAGGTCGAATTCTAAGGTAATTTTCCATATGTTATAGGATCCAAACCAATTAACTAGTTTATATTTTGGATCCTTTCCAAATGCAAATAGTTTTAATAGTTCACCTAGCAATCATGCATGGTATGGAGGATGTCATAGAGCTGTCAATGGAGTCTGAAAGTCAATTGTTTTAGATTTTGATGATCAGCGGTTTAAATAAATAGATTGCATCTATTTTATAATTGCATTGGATGCGGATCCAATCCTATTGGATCTGGTTAAGTCCTAGTTAGTTTATATTGTACATACATACATAATTATATAAAAATAGATTTATGTTATTTATATAAGTCAAAGAGTGATTGATTTATTTATAATTTTTTTTTTTGTTTAAAGGATGGTAAAATGGATTGGATTGAATTTGAAAATCTGAAAGGATTTAGATCCAGTTCGTTGGATTTGGGATTTTAATAATTGGATTGGATTTAGGACTGTAAATGGATGATCCAATCCGAGATCAGATCGGATAATGGGATCCGATCAGAAATCGGATTAGATTCGGATCACCTCCTATCCAATCCGAAAAATATGTTATATATTTATTTTTATAAAAATATATAATACAGATATATATGTTTTTTATCTATTTCTAAATATATTGTTTATATTTTATTTTTGTAAATTTCTTATATTATTTATTTTTTATAAAAAACATGTATATATGTGATGAAAATAATTAAAAATACTTATATTATTTATTTTTTATTTAAATTGATATATTTATTTTTCTTTTAATAATATATTAAATTTTAAAGAAAATCAGTCGGATTGGATCATATTTGAATATTTGACTTCCCAATCGAATTCAGATTCAGATCCATATCTATATCCAATCGGATCTGCAATTAACAATATTGGATCGAATTCGAATAATGTTTCATCCCTAATTGGAATGGGATGTGACTAGATCCGATATGCAACCCGATTATTAGATATCAGATTTTACACTCTCCATTACATGCCATATGTATTGATAATCATGATGAAATCTCTTTTCACCAAAAACAATCTTGAGAAAACTCACGGAGAGGGGAAAGCAAATACGAAACATCCATTAAAGAGGGGTTGACAATTGCTGAACTGGCCGGATTGAATTGCTTATTGGTTTCTCTTTTAGTGGATAAGCCCGGTAGTTTTATAGTGAAATGTTTAAGTAAAGTAGTCACCTCAAAATGCCATTCAGCAATTATATAATAAGCAACCATATGAAAAGCAAATCCTTAAGTATTTTAGGCTTCAACAGTTATCAAACAGCCCCTAAACTAAAGTAACCTTGTTGGAAAGTGCGGTAGTAACTTCTAGAAATTAGAATAAAATTAAGAAAATCCATGGTCGGTACTCGGTAGTTAGATATAAGATAGATAGATTAGTTTATGAAGTGAGTATGACATGTGAAATTGGCGTATCTTTCCTTTTAAAAAAAGTCTGAGATCATTTGTATGAGAGCGTATATGGGTTTTGTTTGTCATCAAGTCATTTTTAGGAAAGAGATATCTGCAAGAGCCAGCTATACAATACCTCACGGCATCATGACTTGGCCCAAAGTGATCCACGTGTCTTCATCTCTACCCTCTGTTACTAAGAACATAATGAATCATTTTCTTTTCATCACATGGTTAATGAAATATTAACAGTCATAACTTAATCACAAAGGGAAAAATGGACCCATTGGTGATTGGTCCAAAAAAGCTAACCGAGGGAGTAGGATTTCCCTTGAGTTGAGAATACGGTAAATGCGGGCATAAGGCTTCTGAACCGGCCTGTAGATCTCTGCAACAACCGTGCTCCTCCAATAAGCCACAGTACCAACAATTAAAAAGCTGTTCCTCAAATTACCAAACTGTCCACCCTTTCATACATAAATAAATAAAATCAGATTATTCTAATTTGTTTCAAAGAGCCAAAACCTACAACAATTAATTCATATATTTCGTGTCTTTCTATTAAAACAAAGCCCACATTCATTTTTATATATTCTGGTGTGTGGCAACAAAAAAGGGTTGTAAATATTTTTAGTAATATTGTGTTTTAATAATATTTTCATCAGGAAGAATGAAAATAAGTAAGTAAAGGGTAGGTTTGTAAATTACTTAATTCTGACTAGGAAATTAAAGATGCATCTTTTTACTTTATGAACACTCTAAAGTTCAACTCGACCAACAGCCAAAGCGGACATTTCCAAGTGAGGAAAAAAAATGTAATGTGGTGACATGAAGGTCCCATTCTTTCTGTAGTATTAATTATAATCTCATCACCTACTCAACCAAATACATTCAAACTGATCTCTGTTGCTCTCTCTCTCCCTCTCTTTCTCTATATATCCAACCAGACTGGGGTCTCATCACTATGTACCCAGTACCCATACCCAACGGTTGTAAATTAAACTTCCCTCTCCCCTTAACTCCGTATTCATAAATAGATCAAAAACAAGAAGATAAGAGAAAGGGAGAGATGGGTGCTTCTTCTCATCTTCCTTCACCTGTATCTAGCAGGGGTGCTCTTCTGCTTCTCTTGCCGGAGCTCGTACTTGCCACTCATGCAGGCATCACAAGGCACTACAAGTTCAATGTACGTTGGCCGGAGATTCTCTCCTAGCTAATTAACTCCACTAGACAGCTTATGATGAGCAAAGAAATATGGGATTATTTCATTTCCTTTAATAATTTGCATCTTTTCTAATTCAAAGTTGATGATGAGCTTCTCTTATTGCAGATCAAGCTACAAAACGTAACAAGACTGTGCCACACGAAGAGCATCCCAACTGTGAACGGAAAGTTCCCCGGTCCTCGGATCGTCGCAAGAGAAGGGGATCGTTTGGTTATTAAGGTGGTTAACCATATCCAGAACAATGTCAGCTTGCACTGGTATGGAATCCTTTCTCCATCTTTTTTTTTTCTTGTCAATGCGTGCAGTTGTATGTATAGATGGTTGCTTCATGTTCATGGTGACTATGGGTGTCAATATTGGACCCGATTTGGATTGTACCCCATCCAATAAGACATATTGAATTGGACCAGTTCAGACTTAATGGTCCAAAGCATTTATTGGATTGGATTGGATTAGACTTGATCCATCTATAATGTATTTATATTGGATTGATTTGAGCCAATATCTAGCCCATTGATAGACGATAAGAATATAGGTGTCAATAGACCAAGTTTGAATTAGAATTAATCTAAATTAAAACAAATTTAGACAGATTGGATGGTCAAGACATTGAATTGGACCCATTCCAAATAATATTCATTAGATTGGATTAGATCTGGTCCATTTGTAACAAATTCACACCGGATTGGATTGGACTAATTGGACCAAATCCAATCCAATTAACACCCCTAAAGTAATCAATAACTTGGGGCGAATGGCCGAATGCAGGCATGGAATTCGACAGCTTCGGAGTGGATGGGCAGACGGACCAGCGTACGTGACCCAGTGCCCCATTCAAAGGGGCCAGTCCTATGTCTACAATTTCACCATCACAGGGCAGAGAGGGACGTTCTTTTGGCATGCCCACATCTCGTGGCTTAGATCCACCCTTTATGGACCCATTATCATCCTTCCCAAACGCGACGTTCCTTACCCGTTTGTCAAACCCTACAAGGAAGTTCCCCTCATCTTTGGTATTAACTGATTTAACGTCCGAAGTCCAAACACATATTTGATTCTTCTTCTTCCTCTTCAGTTTGGTTGACGTGAAATAAATTTGATTAATTTCCAGGAGAGTGGTGGAACGCAGACACTGAAGCAGTCATCCGACAGGCTCTGCAGTCTGGAGCAGGTCCCAACGTCTCTGATGCTTACACCATCAATGGACTTCCAGGGCCCTTGTACAACTGCTCAGCCAATGGTATGTGGGAAATCTTGGAACAGCATCATCAAGCTAAGACAAACATGGCTACATACATGCAGTTCTTAAGTAAATTTGTTTTTGGCGCCTATATATATGCATGGACAGATTCATTCAAGTTGAAGGTGAAGCCCGGGAAGACTTATCTCCTCCGCCTGATCAATGCTGCACTCAATGACGAACTCTTCTTCAGCATTGCCAAACACACCCTTACAGTTGTTGAGGCCGACGGCATCTACGTGAAGCCTTTTGACACCGACAAGCTTCTCATCACCCCTGGACAGACTACTGACGTTCTTCTCAAGACCAAACCTGACTTCCCTAATGCTACTTTCTTCATGGCTGCCAGTCCATATTTTACCGGTCTGGGCACCTTCGACAACTCCACCATTGCCGGAATCCTTGAATACGACGACCAACCATCCAATTCATCCGCCATTAACAGGAAGAAGCAGCTTCCACTGTTCCGACCAACACTCCCTCCCATCAACGATACCGCTTTTGTGGCCAACTTCTCTAGTAGAATCCGCAGCTTGGCCACTACACAGTTCCCAGCCAACGTCCCCCAGACTGTCGACAAGCGGTTTTTCTTCACAGTAGGACTGGGGTCAAGTCCATGCCCGAAGAACCAGAGCTGCCAAGGGCCCAACAATGGCACCAGAAAGTTCGCTGCTTCTGTGAATAATATCTCATTCGCACTCCCCACCACAGCTATTCTTCAAGCCCATTTCTTTGGGCAGGAGAAGGGGGTCTATACCAGTGATTTCCCCATAAATCCGCCCTTCCCCTTCAACTACACAGGCACTCCACCCAACAACACACTGGTGAGCAACGGTACCAAAGTTGTGGTGCTTCCCTTCAACACCAGCGTGGAGCTAGTGATGCAGGGCACTAGCATACTTGGTGCCGAGAGCCACCCCCTCCACCTTCATGGCTTCAACTTCTTTGTCGTCGGCCAGGGCTTCGGCAGCTTTGATCCTAACAAGGACCCTCCCAATTTCAATCTAGTGGATCCTGCCGAGAGGAACACCGTTGGTGTGCCATCCGGCGGTTGGGTTGCCATCCGCTTCTTGTCTGATAATCCAGGTGGGTTGTATATATAACACAACGCAACCAGTACTACTACTAGCTGTAGCAAAATTTCGGTTTTCAGCGGGATAGATATCACAAATCATGCATGAAGAAAATTTAAGTATTATACAGGTAAAAACATATATAAATTGGAAAATTCGAGCGGGATAAATACAATTAGGGGTGCGACCGAAAATCAATTGGGTCTTATATTGGATTGGGTTGGATTGAGCCAACTGGTCCATTGATATAAGATAAGAATTTAGGTGTCAATGAATCGAGTTTGGATTAAAACCAATCTAAATTAAAATGAATTTGAACAGATGGACTGTCCAGACATTGAATTGGACTGATAAAAAAGTATTCCAAAATATTCATTGAATTGGATTGGACATGATCCATTTATAATGGATTCACGTTGGATTGGACCAAATCCAGTCCAATTGACACCCCTAAATACAATTATATCTTAGGGGAGAGAACAAAGTTTACTCGTTACTATAATTATTTTAAATTCTTTTTATGCTTTTTCTATAGATTGATTAATGGCCGAAAATTTTTTGAATGATTGCTTATGAACAGGTGCTTGGTTTATGCACTGTCACTTTGAAGTCCACCTTAGCTGGGGATTGAGGATGGTGTGGATCGTCTTGGACGGAGAACATCCAAATCAGAAGTTACCACCTCCTCCTTCTGATCTTCCCAAGTGCTGACGCTGATCATTTTATTGTGATCAGGATCCTACCTTCATTTTTGGAGTGCTTTTTCCCTGTTTATTTATTTTTCTTTCATTTTCCATTTTGTTTTGTGTTTGATGGTTGACTGAGATTGGAGGATTTCTTTCCAAGTTCCAGCCCGCCACCCTCAGTTTGGTTTGGGTTGGAGAGTTGCAGCTGATGAAAGTTTGTCTAATAAACTGCATACATTTAATGAAATTTGGGAAATTGAGTTTCTTGCTGCCAAACACCAAGCTCCCTCTATTTTATTTTAGTTAGTTGTTGTATCGTTAGAATTCTAAATTCATATTTTTGGTGCTTTGTCTATCATCTTTCTTCCTTCCAAACTTCCCCGGTTATGTTGGTAAATTTTTATGAGAAAGCGGAGTTTCACAGAATCACAGTTCATTGCTTTCAAGCAAGCTCATCAGGGTTCAGATTCGGATCCGTTAAGAGTTGGATTCGAATTTGGATATATCCCAATCCAAAATGACCCGATTATAATTCTAATTGAATCAGATTAGAATCGGATATTCAATAAGATATTCGAATTTGAATCATGTTCTTGAAAATCGAATTCTGATCAGATTCGGATAGAAACAAATATACCCTTTACCAAATTCAATCCGATTCATTAATTTGCAACCCTATATCTCAACCATCCATCTCATTATATGAATAAAAAACAATTAACCAGAAGTTAATATTTTTTTTAACACAAGAAAAGCATATAAAACCCTTCTTGTTATCCAAGAAAAAAAAATGAATAGAAAATGCTTGAAGAAGAAGGACTATTTAGTCTTGTCAAGATCTTAATAATTGTCAAGTGCCAACCACAGATTGATTATAGGCCGGATTAATATTTTCTATGTGGTCGTAACTCCTCTACTTTAATTTCCACCCATTATCTAGAGAGCTCTTGATCCTCGATACTCTTCCAGTCCTCTCCTCTCAAATTCTCAATCCATCTATCTTCTTTCTTTTGTCAAGTATGTTTCACTAAAATCATTAAAAATATTTGTTGCATAAATTTATTGGTAGACTTTAAACTTTTTTTTTTCCTTTATGCATACTCATGTCCAGAGTAGATTAATAATCCTCTCGTGAAGAAAATAAATCCAAAGAATAATTGTGTTAATTTGTCGCTGAAATTCTGTTGCCTTGATCAAGAAGCGATGTTATAAACGACTTACTGCTTTGTCTTTTCGCGAATAAGATATTAGCAGGTTGCGAGTTCCTAAACAAGAAAAGTGGGTTAATTAAGATATCGTTTGAATATTAAAGCAATAAATCATTATTAAACGTCTCTAAAACACTTTATGTTTGATCTCCTTTATAGCCGAATAGGGCAACTTTTGGCCCTAATATCAATAAGAATAATATTTTTAAAATAATTATTAAAATAGGTTAACTTTTTTAAAAAATATATCAAATAGGGGCAGAAAGACTATTAAGCTTTAATGGAACGGGTTTCTAAGAGACCAGAATATTTACATCCCTACTATGTCGCTCACGTCATCTATTCCTACACTATGAACAAGGTTCACAGAGGAAGTTGTGAAATCTAGCATAATTTCACCACTGATGGAGCCTCTTTGAGGGAAGAACAGTTGGGTCTAGCAAAGAGCCGCCGCTCGACTTGCTTACCAGAGGGGTGGGAAGCTTGGAGATGGAGAATCGAAAAGCAGAGGAATGGGCTAGCCAGATTCAGTGCTGTATTCTCTAGAAAATCATGCAGAAGAAGCTATGAATCTGGCATAATTTCACCACTAGTGGAGTTTCTTTGAGGGAAGATCAGTTGGGTCGAGCAAAGAGTTGCCGTTTGACTTGCTTACCAGTGCGACTGGCTTACCAAAGGGGTGGGAAGCTTGGAGATGGAGAATCGAAAAGAAGAGGGATGGGCTAGCTAGATTCAGTGCTGGTTTCTCTAGAAAGTCAAGCAGAGAGAGATAGAGGTGGGGAGATTTGTTCGGTGGTCTAAGGAAGAAGAAGATGAACAGTATTTCTCTCCCTTTTTGATAATTTAAATAAAAATTAACCTATTATAGAAATTATATTAAAAAGGTTATTTTTTATTGATATTAGGGCCGAAAAGTTGCTCTTATCGGTTAGAATCACTTTTTTCTTTCTTAAGGTGGCCTATGATGGCATAGACTTTTTATTTCATTTCTTAGGACACCCTTATAGTTTCAAGGATTTACTAAAATCTATTTTGTATCTTACTAAAACCTCCTATAGATAATAATGGATAATGATTATTTTGACCTTAATCTCCATTTGAAAAATGAAAATATCATTTTTTGTCCATAATAAGACATGACAACCACTCTATTTGGTCAATTTTGTATTTTTTTTTACAAAAAAAAAGTATTAGAGATACTTTTTGGAATAAATAATCATGAATTAACATGTTTTCACTCAGTTTGGGTGATCAGATAACTATTTTTGCAAAACAAACACTTTTTAGTGAAAGTATGATCAATTAATTAAGTTGCAAACTCAGGAAGGTTGCTTGGAAAGCCAGAAGGGAGGCTTCGTCAAGTAGTGGATCAGAATTTTTGAAGTTCCCCTCTCAGTCTGGTGCTTGGCAGTCTTCAAGGAGATAGCCAGATTGGAGATGCAGTGGCTGGCTTCATCTCCGTGTACCCGAACAATCTGGTCTGAAAAAACCTCGAGGCCCTCCGTCTTCTCATTTAGAGCGGAGCGGTCCGTAACATCCCAAGTTCGTAGGGCTGTAAGTAAAGTGACGGGATCTGCTGCTCTTCACAAATGGGCGCTTCACAGGCACATCCACCATGCATTGAGAACATCTCCCATAAAAAATAACTAATAAGTACGGCCAATGCACGATAGGATGTGTATGTGAGGCGCCAGCAGCTAGAGTGGGCTGAACCCGAGATCGATTGCTCTGCCTTTACACAAAGGACCGGACTTCTCTTTTTACGATCTGAAGTCGGCTTACGAATTGGGAAAGAGTGGAGGCTGTTGTAGGACCATGGGACTGTTGCGGCCCCTGCGAAATGGACTCGTTGCAAAAGGAAAAAGAAGGAAGCAGTGACATCTTCCGTTTCACGGGGTAAGAGAAGAGGCAGTGGAAGTTTTGCAGAGGCCTCTGACGTCGGGAGACGTTGAACATGGGGTGTCGCCTCAGAGTCTTTTCTCGCCAGTAGGGGGCGTGCTGTTGTGCAACTGCCGGCAGGAGTCGCGTGAGAGTTGGTGTTGCCGGAGGACCAGCCGCTGGAGAAGACAGGTCTCTCGGTCTCCTCAGCTTTTCATTTGGGGGCCCGGGTAGACCCGTTATGGGTCAACCCGATATCTATTGTTAGCCCGCCTACCTTTCAAGACAATGGGCTAGACTCGTTAGACTCGTTGGTGAAGCCCACTTTGGCAGGGGCCTCGCATGCTCTTGTCCCCCCGAAATCGGTTTGGGAGAAGCTGGAGAGTCTAAAGGTTTCTCCAAGAGGCATTGAAGGTTTGAATTATTAGACTTGAGGTTCTAAATAAGTAAATATCGGCATATGCGTCTTTATTGGTGTTTTATTTATTTATTTATTTATTTTTCAAAATTGATTTAAAAGAATCAGTTTAAGTCCTGGCTATCTTCTGAACTATGTATAAGAAAGGCTCCGATATAATATGTATCGACCAATACGTAATAATATTTTGAAATTTGAACCTTTCCTTGCTTGCTAAGACCCCTCACCCAGATCTAAAAGTAGTACTGACTTCTATTAATGTCTTCCCTTGGAATTAAGCGTGCCTTTGGATGTAGATTTGGAGGATGAACCCGTGTTTGAATTGCAAGAGAAAGAATGATTGATGCACGCTTATAGGGCCGTTGTAGCTCAGGTGGAGCAGCTGTTGGAATTTGGGAAGCTTCTTGGGGCTTCTTACGGAGCGGAGCAAGAGCCCCAGTTACGAGATTGGTTTAATTCCTCACTTGTCAACGAAGTGAAGGCTCATACCCCTCGGAACGATATGTGCTTGGAGGTGGAAAAAGCGGTGGAGACAGAAAGTTCCTGGTCAGATGTTTCAGCAACCTCTACTTCGGGCACTCGCAGCACCAGGAAAAGGGGTAATAGAGGCAGAGGAAGAAACAGTGTGGCCCGTTAATTTGCGGGCCAGGTTCTTTCTAGTTTTTTGGGGTGTTTTTAAGGTCCGTTTGGTTTGAGGTAATAGGAGTCTGGAATCGGAATTGGAATGGCCCATTTCCATTTCAAGTGCTTGGTTGATCGGAATGGAAATCCCATTCCCATTCTATGGGGGAATGGCCATTCCTGACCCTCCCCAGGGAATGTGATTCCCATTCCGGTTTATGGTTTTTTAATTTTTTGGACAAAAATGCCTTCCTCATTTTCAATCCAGTCGAAGAGACGAAACAGGAGATTGGAGTTTCCCCATTTTCAATCCAGTTGAAGAGACAAAACAGAGATTGCGAGAACTCCAAGCCTTCTTCCATCGCCGAACAGAGAGCTGAACCAACCTCTGGCGAGGTAAAACAACTGCTGAACCATTCTCCACCACCACCACCACCTCCTCCTCCTCCTCCTTCGAAATTAACCGCATGCTCTGATTGAACCAACCTCCGGCGAGGTAAGGCCACTGATTGAATCTTCTTCTTCTTCCTCACCGGATACAATCTAAAATCGTTTCATCCTAAACCTCGTGCAGAGTCTTCATCTAGAGCACCGATCGCTGCAGTAGTTCAAAGGGAGAGAGAGAGAGAGATTAAGGGCGAGTGATTCAAAATCAAAGCTCGTCTCAAATCTTCCCCTACAACATCCATCGATTCCAAGCCAATATTCTAACAGGTAAGTGCGTTCTACAATATTTCACCATTTTTCTGGTTTCGTTTCTTCCATTTTATGTTTATGACTCTATTTAAGTTGTTGTTGTCTCGAATTGACTTGGGCCTGGGGGAGAGGGATGGAGCTGGTTCTGTCGAATCAGCTCGTAAACTACTAAACTCTCAACGCCTACCCAACCTCTTCATTTTTTCTTTCTAACTCCGATTAGGGACTCAATGCATGATTAGTGCGATTGATGACCTTATGATATATATTTTTTTTCTTTCCCTGTTTTCTCTTCCTAATTTTAAATATGATGTCATTAGTCCAGTTGATGGTTATTTCGTCTGAATTATCTGGCCGACAACTGATCTGAACTCTCCGATAAGCAGGGAGTTTCCCTGTAGTAGGCAATATAAGAAATAGATAAATTATAAATTGTGATTAATAAAAAATGATAAAAAAATAATAATAAAAAGAAAAGGGAATACATTAGAAGAAAAAATGCCTCTCTACAGATTAGAAGTGCTGGTTGTAATTAATTATTCCCCTCCTCCTTTCCATGAGCTTTCAAGGACCCATGTGATCCCTTTATCTCACATGCATGCTCCCACCTCCTTTATTTGATAGATGAGAGAGGATGAGAATAGCTGCATGTTCAGATGGGTCCAAAGATCAGCTAATTCACTGGAAGATAATGTGGCATTGTGGCTAGGGTAGGGGTGGAGAGATATAACCTGTATTGGGGTTCATTCCTTCCTGAGTGGCTCCTTTTGTATTTTAGTTTTTGAGATAGTGCATGCTTTTCTGCCTTCTATTTTTAGTTTGCCTTATTAGTGCAAAGATGTTGAGGTGGTATCAGGTGATTGTGGTCTGGTCTCTCATGTAAAAAGCTGTCAATTGTATATTTCTTTCTTTCTTCTCCTAATAAAGTTTTAATCTCCCATAAGAGAAGGGTTGCAGTGACCTGTTTCAAGCTGTAAGCCCAACAAGTTTAACAATAGATAATAGGTCCGATAACAAAACTAACAAAAAGTTGCAGAGAAAAGCCAATAAAATACTAGGCTTGCTACATAAATAGATTAGGTGTCTATTCTACAAATTACAACAACATGATTATTACTTGATATACTTGGTAATCAGTCAATGACAGAAGCATAAAAATGCAATATTATTAAATACTATACCTTGGAACATCAGGTCTGTTAACCATACTTGTTGTGATGCCATGGACATGGGAATTGAGGATAACACGTTCTAGGTTGACTAGAGTTTGGAATGTACTGTTCTCACCTCCCAGGAGATCCTGAATTGCAATCTCAATGATTCGTTCGTTTTCTCTGCTCAATCAAATGGTTTCAATATCATAAACAAAAAATGTGACAAGTTGCTCTAGTACTTTGCTATCTGAAAGCTTGTCTCGAATGTCACAGTATTGAACTCTTTCAAATTCTATCAGCTTTGGCTTATTTATGTTTAACCTAGTTGTTGCTGTAACTTTTCTGTCCAACACTTTGTGCCTGATTTCATATAGTTTACTGGTCTGATCAGGTGTGCCGGCATGACATGGCATGACGGCATGGGGGTGTGCCAGATCCTGCATGAGGTCCATGGGCTGGCACGACACTATGTGTGCCACGCCGCTTGTGGCCCACGTGCCAGCATGGCCCAACCTGCGGCATGACACGCACTGTGGGCTAGCACTACACGACCCACCTGACGAACTAGCTAATTTCAACATTTTGGGGTTTTTTTATAGAAATACCCCCCCCCCCCCCMAACAATTATAAACAATTATACAGGGGGTATTTTGTATTTTGGTTTTGGGGGAAAAAGAATGACACAAATGTCCCCAACAACTATATAACAACTAGTTTGGAGGGGCATTTTGGGTAAAGTGATAAATAACTTTACAATGACCATAATACCCCTCCCAACAGTACATCTGATGTTTCTCCTAAAGTAGATGATCAAAGTCAAAAACAATAGGAGAAAATGATGAAGCCAATATATTTTGTATACATGCATTTGAAACCCGCCTGACACGGCCCACGTGCTGTAACTTTTATATGACTATAGTTTTCATTTCCTACGTTTATATGTCGCTGCTTCCATCTTCCCCTATATTGTTCCTTTGCAGAAGGTTGATGGGTGCTAGATCCATGCACATAAAAACTACAACTGTTTTCAAGTGTGTAAGTTTGGTACTTCTCTAACCAAAAACGGGCCAAGATCCTTGGTTGAAGGAATGAACTTCCTTTTAATAGAGATGAGACTCTGCACATAGGGTGCTGTAAAAATGAAAAAGACATAACCTGCTCTCATCTGGACTCAAATTAAAACAGAGTAAGCTTGCAACCAATAACACGTCCTGACTCACACAAGCACTTTATCTTGACCTGAAGAAGTAGATAGAAACCATTTTGGTTAGGTGCATTACAAGGAAATATATATTATGTGCATGTATAGCACAGAACAAATTTAGCTCCACCTCAAGAGAAAACAAACTTCACAATGAATTCAGAAAAGAAACCTGAACTTCTGCATTAACTGTTCAAATGGGAATATCCATTAGGTTATCGTAACCATGACTTAAGAACTCATAAGTTGGCCATAAAGCTGGTAATGAACCTTCAGAATAGCTTATCTGCCAGATGTGTACAGGCACCTGCTTACTCATTTTACAGGAGCAACTAATGTTTAGCTTCCTTTGCCATTAGGTGGCAAACTAATCAATGGGTACTTATGTATCATATCTGATGTGAGAGCAAAATATCCCATTGTTGAATCCATGGGCTATATAATTATATTTTGAATCTTATCCAAAATTGAAACATACAAAGTTTGTTTTCCCCCTACCACACTCAATTCATTTTTCTGAATTTTTTGCAAAATTATTGTAATTTCTGCAATTTTCTGATTTTCTTGCAATTTTCTACAATTTCTGCAAAATTCCTGATATTTTCATTCATTTTTTTCTGAATTTTTTGCAAAATTATTTGTAATATTATTGTAAGTTCTGCAATTTCTGCAAAATTTCAGGTATTTTCATGCATTTTTTTGCAATTTCCTGCAAAATTTCTAGTATTTTCATGCATTTTCTGAATGTGCTGCAAAATTGTTGTAATTTCTGCATTTTTCCTGCAAAATTTTTACTTTTTTTTTTTTTTGCAATTTCTGCAAATTTTGAGTATTTTCATGCGTTTTTCTGAATTTTCTGCAAAATTATTGTAATTTCTGCATTTGTTTTGGTATTTTCATGCATCTTCTGCTTTTTTATTTTTATTAGGGGCAAAATTGAAAATCATGGCCAATTCCGATTCCAGCCTCTTGATGAACCAAACAGCATCAATCGGAATCTGATTCCGATTCCTGTTTGAACCAAACACTTAGGGGAATAGACCATTCCGATTCCGATTCTAAAAGATTCTCATTCTGATTCCGATCACGAATCAAACGGACCCAGGTGGTATAAATGGGGTTTGTAAGAGGATTGTAATGAGATTTCGAGGCTTTTGGTGGTTAGGTTTTGACGGAGGATCAGGTTCCAAGTATTCTCGAGTGTGTTTTGCCATGTTTTTGGCCATGAGTGCTGTGGACTCGGGTTGTAAGAGGATTCCTTTGGGATCTGCTGGTTTTATTGCATTGTATATTTGTATCTCTTGTATATCCTTTTTTTTTCTTTATGAATAAAAGATACTTCATTTTTTTGAAAAAAAAAAAATTAAATAGGTTACAAATTATAAGGAGTATTTTAGTAAAATAAAAAAGTAGGTTAAACTAAATCCGTAAAATTATAGAGGATATTCTAATAAATGATCCCTTTTAATTATATTAATTCATAAATATTAAAGGGGAGACTAACCCCTCTTGAGATGAGAACCAAATATTGTATGTTAATTCATTTCTGCATTCGGATCATATTAGGTTTGGATGTCTGTAAGTTTCAGGCCATCAGAATCAAACACAACCAGCGATGATTAATCCTCGATTTCTGGTGGTTTTAATTGGTGCTTGAACCAGCTAGTTAAACATGTCAAAGTGGATGTTGTATCAAAATCTGTCGTCATTGCTTTACCCACATTTGCCTATATTATGAATTGTTGGGTTTATGCGGTTTCATCAAGGGTATTTTTGGAAAATCTTATAAATTTAATTTGTGTTATGTCTTGTAATCTCAGCCATTGGAGATAATTAAGATTTAAGGGCTAGTATTTATTAGGTTTTTCTTCTTTTGTTGTCTTTTGTCTTTTGAGAAAAAGAAAGAGAAGAGAAGTAGATAAGAAGAAAAAACACATTAACGTTATAAAAAGAAGGGCTGTAGAAGGAGAGCCATTATAACTCTATTAGAAGCTTCTATAGTGGATTTCTTGTTCTTGAACGTCTGTGGACGTAGGCCATAGTGCTGAACCACGTAAATCCGGTGTGCTCTCTATCTCTCTTCCATTTCTACTTTATGAGTTCTACATGTTAAATTTCTGCTCTTGTGTGTTTGTTATGCTTGAATACACTGTTCCATTAGCATAGTTTTAAACATTTAGAGAAATATCTTCCCATAAAGGAGATCGACTTCTATTAGGGCAAATATGTGTCCACACCGTTCTAACAGCTTTTTGCAACCTTGCATTGGGAATATCTCTCCATAAAATAAAACACACAAGTATGAAGATATTCTCAATGCAAGGCAGTAAAAGCTGCTCAAATGGACTTTGCCTTGACTGAAGCCGAACTCCCCATAAAGCATGAATGATTTGGTAGATATTTCCAATGCATAGCTGTAATATCCTGCATGGTGGGATGTGGGAACAACTTAAGGGAAACAGATCCAAACCCATCATTGCATGGTAAACGTGGATTAAGGACCGTTAACAGGTTAGGGTTCTTGTTGAATCTTGGCTTCGGTTAACAGGTTGATAATGTTTTTAGAAAATGGCAGGCAGTAGCAGGCGGTCAAAACTGAGTACTTGAATGTATTAAGGGGACTGTGATTATGACCTCTATCCCAATTCGAGTTGTGAATGGATTGGATCATGATATAAACCCAATTAGCTTAATTTTATACAAGACACAAAAAGACAAAAGTGGATCTAAGATCAAGGGTTCACACTCGAACTTAGGCCCAACTCACAATTATGAATGGCAACGAGGCGGGTTTGGGGTAGGGATCAGATTTGCCATCCTTTGCCCCCAATCCTTGTCAAGGATAAAAATTTAAATTATAAATAATGTTTTAAATATGTTTTGATATAAATATATAATATAAATAATATATTAAATATAAATAACATTTAAATTTATATAAATATATAATTGGCGTCGAGGTAGGGCGGGGACCTCAATCTCCATCCCCGATCCCGACCTCGATCAGGGATTCCTATTAATCCCTATCCCCATCCCCGCCTCGCCAAAACAATCCCCATCCCCGACCCTAGTCGGGTCCCCATCGAGGATGGGGAAGATTGTCACCCCTACCTACAACCACCGATCACTAAAACAAACAGAAAGTTAGATATTTACATCAAAACCCTATCCCTAGTACCTATCCATAGACAAAAAACGGAAACCGCCAAAGTACATCAACAAAAAAAACTAGAAAGCTATCCCCACCAATACAAGCATCACAGCAAAGGTGGACACCCCAACCTAACAGAGCTCAAGACGTAGTATGTGTTTGATTCCGTTTATGTTTATTGAGTAAACACTGCCTCATAGGTGCCCTATTAGCAAAGGCCTCATTAATTGCATTTGTATGTATTGCAAACATCGATTTCTGTGCAACTCTCCTGTTTTAGGAAGCTTCATTTTGGAGCTTCCCCCAACGGGTAGGCGTTTATTGGCACCTTTGCTGATGTGGTGCCTAATGGTGCCTACATGTTATAAACACCCTCATTAATTGCTTTTCTCAGTTTTGTAGCCACACAAGTACAAAACGTTTATTCAATAAACGTAAACAGAACCAAACACCCTCATAATATATGTTTGGTTTCGTGGATGTTTTTTGATGGATAGTTTTCAAATAAACATTACTTTAAATATTTTTTTAATTTGGCTATTTGGTGGGGTATTTCTAGTAACACCCAAGTTACTTGCCACATCAACAATAATAAACATTTCTTGTTGTTTGGCTGTTTGATGGGCATTTCAAGAAACAATAGTATGCATATTTAGTGTGACATTGTTCTTTGATATTCCGACAACAATGGCATGATTTCTGGCAATAATGCCATGATTTTGGTGACAAGAACAATGCAACAAACAATGAAGATGGTTATTCTGTTATTGGGGTTTGATGATAGAATGCGAAGAAACTCTTCTCCATTAAAACTATATACCAGTCAGTACTTAGTAGTCACCAAAATTTTATTTCTATTGGCTTTGAGAAAAACGGAAAATGATGACTATAGAGTAGGGGTCAAGGTTCAAAATATCGGTATATATCAGCTTGTATTGGCCGATATGTGTCGTATCGGGGCCTTTCCGATATGCCTCTACAAGGGATGTATTGGGTTAGACCATGGTTCAGAGGGTAGCTAGGACTTAAATCGACCCCTCTGAACTAGTTTTGAAAAAATTAAAAATAAAACATAAAAAAAGCATCAATCTGCATATTGGCCTGTATCAATATTTAGAACCTTGGTAGGGGTATAAACAGTATTTGAGAATTCGATTTCGAATTTGAGATTTGATATAATCAAATTGAATTTGGATAAATACGAATATCTAATCAATGGAATTCAGATATGACCTGATCTAATTCAAT